AAAAAACTGCATGGGGTCCACACAATATGAACATATCGAAGCTCATGCATCAAGCGATTGAATGTTAAAATCATGTTAGGGCATTTGAATGCCGCAACACAGAAGAAACGCGCATTGCCATGTAAACCATGTAAATGTAATAATAAATATTTGTTGGCTTTTGTAGTGCAGTGTTTTTTGTTTTGTTTTTCTTTTTTCATTTGACTTTTGTATTTATCGTTTTTCCTTTTTTTTTTCTTTTACATATCTATGCCCTGTAACTATTGGAAATGTTTGAAGTAATGGGTAGATTGAACTCTTGTCAAGTGTTTGAAGGGGGCGGAAGGTGAGCATAAGGTTGAGGTGTATATAAAAAGTTGTTAATCTCTCGAAATTCAAGATCTGAAGTGTTAGGCCTATAGATACTGTGTGCCTAAATATTCTACATACATTCATTACAAATTTTACCTATTCAGCAGGTGAACGTTAGAGAACATTTGAGATCTTTGATTGCGCTGCCTTTAAAGTTTATTACAGGGTAACTATAAGTCATGCTCTACTCAAATATTTCCCTTTTTTCTGCCGCTTTTATATTGTTGCAAATTTGCTTGTTGCATTCTGCGGCTGTCAACATTTGCTGTCTGTCGCTTTGTCTGTCCGCCCGCCTGCCCGTCTGCCCGTCTCTTTCTCTTTTTTGTCTGGCTGTCCCTTTCGCTGTTTGTTGATTGTTTTTTGCATTTAATTTTGCATTACTTTTGTTGCGATGTTGCAGTTTTGATTTCTGCTGCCAGCGAGTTACAGATACGAAAAAAAATAAGGGCGTGTCTCGCCCTCCGTTTCGAATGTATTTTGTCAGTCGCTTTGGTTATTCATGCAAAGTTTTGCATGTTAGCTTTGTCCACTTTTTACCGCTTTCACTGCATGGTAAAAGAGACAGACAGACAGACAGCGAGAGAGGGATAGACACGGAAAGTGCAACAAATATTTTAATGGTCCCAACTGGCCGCCCACCCACAGGGCAATAGCCAAAAATTGTTGAATTTTGGCCAGCGGGTTGTCTCTCTTTCACCTGTCCAAACGTTGGCGGCCAAATGCAGCGTCAAGCTCATTACGAGCACAATTATAAACATGATGCTGTTTGATTTCTGTAGACGAAAGCGCAAAATTTTCCTAATGAAGCCGGCAAATGCAACGGCAGCCACAGCGGCAACAGCGGCAGCCGTATCAGCTAACTGTATTATATGGCCATGGCCAGCTGTAAATGTTGTTGTTGCTTTTTAGCTGTTGACTTTTATGATTTCCATTGCATAGCATTATTATGGACGGCAAATAGAAAACATGGCCAGGCAAAACGAGAAAATCAATAGAAAATCTCCTCTAACAAACTTACAAGCTAAAAATGAAGTGAGCTGCAGGTGAGCCGGGCTCATGGCACATTGATGATCTATGTGCGTATACCATAAATCGTAACAATAACAAACACGGACACTTGGCCAGACAACTGGCAGACAAGCCAAACCCAAAGCAATAGCAGCAGTAGCAGCAGCAGCAGCAGCAGCTGGTGCCAAAGATGAAGCAAAAGCTGCAGTCGAGCATCAGCTCGACATGGACGAACGATTTCACTTGACAGCCACGACCACAGCGAGAGAGAGGGAGAGAGAGAGAGAGAGAGATGCAAGTGGAGTAGCAACATAAGCAAAGTGATTCGCTTCACTTCTAGTCGGAGCATAACATTTCCCTCGAGCCAGCTGACTCTCTGTACAGGCGGAGAAAAACAATATTCTAAACTCGAATACAAACGACATGGAGTTTGGCTCTTGTGCATGTGAAGTGGCTTTGAGGCTGCAGCTAAGTTGGGATCAATATAAATAGAGATTGAGATTGGCATTAAAAAAGTTATGGAAGCTTGGCTGGGCTTTAAGTTTAAATAAAACTTGGCCAATTTCAATTCAATTTTTTATTTAAGTTTAGCCAATCATTTTAGCTTTAGCTATTTTGTATAATAATTGTTTTTTTTTTTTTTCATTTTTCTAAGTGTATGCATCAATGGACAATGTTCACTGTACGTTCTGTCCGCTGTCAATTTGAAATTGTTGTTGTAACATGAGAAATGTGGAGCTGCTCAGTGTTATCTATGGGGATAGCCATTGCTGCTTGGCAAATGCCATTTATTTGATATTACAACGCTCGAGTGCCGCACACTCAGCTTCCTCTTGAAATATTGTCGCACAAACAATTCACACACACACACACAACTCATAAAAAGCCCATTTATAACTGTTAACTTGTACAAAAGTATTTACAGGCGATTTAGCCGCTCACCGAATTACAACCAGCTCACAATTGCAATTGTTTATTTGTGTTTTGTGTGGCAGCAGCTACCGCACCACCCCAACCCAACGCAGCCATCTCAACCACCCAAACCACCCGCTTGCCGCTGCTTTCCTTTTGGCCGGCAATAAAAAGTGTTGCTGTTGTTGTTGTTTTGGTTGTTTCGTTGTTTGGTTGTTTGTACAATGTTGTTTGTTAGCTGTTATTGTTGCTATTATTACAGTTGTTGCTTTTGTTTTTGCTTTGCTTAGCAGCTGCTGCTGCTGACACGCACAAAATTTTCCAATGCAACACTATACAAAAACTCAAGTGCGAAAAATATCCCTATATATATACATATATACATGTATTTATTATATATGTATATAGGTATAAATAAGAGCGAGCAAAATGGGCCGGCATTGTTCTATGGCTGAATGGGTTTTCGCTTAGCTGAGGTCGCGTCGAGTGTTAACTGACACTCGGTCACGGGCACAGTCAGGTGCCAGCTACAGTGAGCACTTGAAACGAAAGCCCAGCGAACGTACATTAGAAAGGTACACAAACGAAAGAAATTTCTAATTACTTTCAATTAAATAGTCACAAACAGTAACCACAAAAAAACTTAGATTCTTATATTAAAATGATTGTAACTTTCTGTAGGAAAGGTTTCGAGCTTAAGAGCTGTTTACCATTTACTCAAAGGCCTTCTCCGAAAATTGCCTAGAAAGGTAGCCGCAGTCGTTGTTCGACTTTCACAACTCTTAAACTGTTTTTCTTTCTTTCAAAATTGCATGCTGCATGTCGGACAGGGACAGCTGCAGACTGACATGAGAATCGCATAGAGCGATGGCCATTCACCGCATCGCACAAAAACTGTATTTGTTTTAGACCTGCAATGATTACAGCGAAAAAAAAAAAAAAGAAAATAAATGCTAAAAAAAAATATATCATAAAAAAAATCACCAATAATATTTGCATTATGTTTTATCTACTGTCGCGCAGGTCGTATAGCAATTTGTTGTTGTTGTTTGTTTGGAGTTTTGAAAGCGCATTTTGAAAGCATTAAATTTATGTCACCCGACTGGCCATTGTTGACTTTTATGCGTCTGACGCTGTCAGCGCAAAATTCCATATTGATTTTTGAATTTTAAATAATAAACAATATATTTATTCTATTGTTTTTTTCCTTTCGTTTCAGCATTTAAAGGCCAACAATCGATAGGTAAGCGTTCAGCTCTGACTTCTCCTCTCTACAGTTTTTTGTTGTGCTGCTTATTAAAAAGCTGGCATAGGCACTTTAAAAATGGAAAACCGCATGCACACACACACACACACGCGCTGCTGCAGCATATTTTTAGTTTCTTGGCATTTGTTTTTCTTCCACTTTTTTTCTTCTCCAGAATTGGGACAACAAGAGGCATAAATAACCAGCATGCCAACAGATAGAGATAGAGAGTAGCAAGAAAAGCTAAACGAAACTCTGAAAACTCGGTAGCCAACAGCACTTAGAATAGCAAACACAAAACAGGCGACAAACTCATGAGATGGGATTGGGTGCGGGGTGGTGCGGGGCGGGGCGGGAGAGTGTTAGTGGGCCTAAAGGTATTGCAACTAAATACAAATGCGCCTGTGCCAAGATGAGAGGCAAAGCGAAGCCTCCGACTCGATATGCCCCTTTGCCCGTTGGCATTGGGCGAAAAGAAAGCGCCGCAACGCCTGGCAAAACAGTTACCGGTTCTGAGACAGATGGACAGGTTTACTTTTCCGTTGGGTACGCTATCTGTGTGTGTGTGTGTGTGTGTGCGTGTGCGTGTGCGTGTGCCGCTGCGTGGCTGTGTGTGACAAATCAAGCGAGAAAAAAAGCCCGTGCGAGAACCGCTTGAAACGTCAATGGCCAGCAGAGCAGCTGTTGCAATTGCCGACTAACCGAGTGCAACCACTAAAAAGTACTTGCTAGAGACGGGCGCGTGAGTGGGATTTCAAAATGAGATTATTAAATAAAGTAATATAGGATAAGAGAAGATTTGGTGATAATAAGTATGAGAATTGTAGTAGAAATATTGGATGTTAAAAGACATGAAATATGTCTATAGGCTAGAATCGTGTAACTATCGATAGACTATTGATTGGACTAGATCTCAAATAAGAGCTGTCGGGTATAATAGCATAGCTACTATTAGTCATCTGAAGTAATTATACCCTGTAAATATCTGTGATAAGCCTAACGAGCTGCAGTTATTTCGGAAGCCTCTGTGAGACTAGGTTTTAATATAGAAATACCATTAAATAATAAGATATATTAAATTATTTTTCTCATTTTAATTTCAAATTTAATATTCCCATAAATATACTTAAAGCTAACTTTTTTTGCTACTATTCCTATGCCCTTGCCCATATTGTGCTGCTAAAATTCGTTTCCACTTGCACCGTGTCACAGTCTCCGCTCTATTAGCCGCTGCATAATGGCTGCAGGAAATTGAAAAACTTGCCAGTTGCGGCTGTTGTTCTTGTTCCTCTAGCTGTGGCTGTGCTATGGCTGTGGCTCTGCAGTTAGTTGCTGTTGCACTTTCTTTGCGCTCAGCCCGAAAAGTCGCCCCCTGGTGCACGTCGACGGTGTCAGAAGCCAAACACTTTGGCTTGTTTTTCGTTCACACCAATCGAGCTGGCTCAGCCACAGCAGCAACAGCAACAGCAGCAGCCACAGCAGTTGCTCTTTGATGATTTATGCGCCTTTATTGCATATCGCTTTAACTCGGAGATCTTAACGTAAACGCCGCGGCGCTGCAACTAATCTATCTTAAACTGGATGCTGTTTGAGCTTCCAGCCTCGAGCTTCGAGCGTGTTGCGTGCTGTAGCCGTTGTTGCTTCTGTTGCTGTTGCTTCAGCTGCTGGCGCTGCATATTTTGCTCGAGTATGTCGCGATATTGACGTTCACGATTCAGTGCACTGCGCTCCTGATAGCTCGGCGCCGCCAGCTGCCATTGGCAACGTTGCTGCCAGATTAATTCATTGGTCAGCTGCAGCTTGGTGCTGGCCACGCGCATCAGGCGACGGCAGCGCTTCGGGCGCCTCAGCTCCTGGCAGTGCAAGTACAGGGCATAGCCCAGAGTCTCCATGATTCTATTGCCGCTTCTGCTCCCAAACTCGGACATTGTCAGCTGTCTAATTTGTCTATTGAGTAGATTTATTTTTGCTCTCACAGTGTGAAACACTTTCGTTGCGTGTCGCTCAACAAATGATGCAATTTCTGCATTGGCAGACAGAATTTAAAGGCTGACAGGTAGCTTTAGGCTGACAGGTAGATAAGTGACCCATTTTTGCCAGGTTTGAGTGGGTTGATGTGGCTACATCTACGGGCAATCCAGGTCAGTGGCTGGTGTCTTACAAAAAGGTGCTAAACTGTAGTTGGTAACGGAAAAAGGTGATTATTAAGAGCTCTTCATAGCACGTGGCCTAAATCTTATATAACTTGCAAACAGGATCAACTCAAACTGTTTTTACCTATTTTTTGCTAATTATATATCGCATGTCTTGGGTTTGCACAGAAAGTTAGGTTAAGTCAGATGGGAATGGAATATAGGCAGATTACTTATAGAATTAATTTTACTTGTTTTTTTCCTTACTTCAAATGAGAATAACTACGAGGGAATTTACTTGGCTTAGTTATATACTGAATGAATGCAGCAGCTGTGGATTTTCCAATAAGATTTTACATAGCCTGAGATATTTCGCCAAAGTCTCTTGTTGTTCTAGCAATGCTATCAACTGCTAGTGTTAGTTACTTCTATAATTGTAACTTTTTTATGGTACATTTCCGGCTTTGGTTGCCTTCTGCCCTCCATCAACTGATCAGGCAATTAGCTGGGCAATCCAGTTTATATATGGCCCCTATTTCATCTGGCTGAAGAGTTCAGACTTTATAATCTAATCGTAAGCTCCGCGGCTTAGACAAATCTATGGCTAGCGGAAAAAAGAAGCGCTCTTTGGCTTCATTTTTTGTTTGTTAGCTGGTGCTACCCCGTGGCTGTTGCTGCTGCTGCTGCTGCTGTTGTTGATGCTGTTGCCATTTGCAAATGCGCTTTGCATGTTGCTGCTAATTGGCAACAGTTGTCGATTGGAAGAGTTTTTCTAGACGCTTTTGGTTCTAGCCTCGTTTACGTTTAGGTTTTCGTTTCGTTTGAACGTGGATTGCATGATTAATGAACGCCGTTATGCTTTTACGAGCAGAGCCAGCTCTTCAACAGCGGCAGCGGCAGCAGCAGCAGCAACAGTCGCAGTGGCAGTGCCAACAGCTGCCATGTAATTTGAGCGCATGCGTCGCTGCCTCTGCCGCATCGCTGCCTGGGTCTGGGCCCAAATGTGAGCTGTTGCATAAGTCGGCATTTGCTGTTTGTTGTTGTTGTTGTTGATGTTGTTGCTGCTACTGCCGGCACCTCCATAAAACTGCGCACAAGAAACAATAAAACACCAGCAAATTAGAAATTACCTTTTATGTGCAATACGAGGCAAGCAAACACACGCAGAGACCGAACAACAACAACAACAACAGCAGCAATGTAAAAAAATGGTAACAAATTTACACACAATGCACAGTTGGCCAGAAGCGGTAGCCATGGGGGGCGGGGCAGGGCTGATGGTCTGCCTGGTGCGTGCGTTACGTCAGCCTCAACGGCAAGCAGACGCCTCATTAAGGCAGGCCAGCGCTTCGCTACGTAAATCGGAACTATATAGATAACGCTATATCCACCATGTGTGAGGCGGAAATTAAAGCTGCCCTAATGGGCGCTCGTCGTGCACAGCTGCAGCTCAAAGATGCAAAGCTGCAAAGCTGCAAACGATGTAAATGTAGCTGCAACTGTGCGCAACGCTGAGCATCTTCAATTGATGGCTCAACTCTTGGCAGATCTACAGCTAATTAAGCCTGTATATATACATTATATATAGCTAAATAAAGAGAGAGTATTACTGGTATATAAGTAAAACTTCTGCTGTACAAAAGTCAGCTGATGCTCAAAACTTTTGTCAGCTGCCGTTGCATTACAATTTTATAACAGAGAATACGCAAAAATGTAACTCTTTCTACCTCTACCTCTACCTCTCGCCACATCTACCCACTACCGACTCTTGCTCCGCTTCAATAACAAACTTTTTCGACTCTGGTATGAAAAATTGTATTTTTCGCAAAACAAAACATGAGCAAAATTGCAACTAAAAATAAAAATAACACATAAAGCAACTACAACTGGCCATCCGCATCAAAATGCACATAAATAATACAAATAACCAGCAACAGGAACCAACACATAGCATAGAAATGGCATAGCATGGTATAGCATGGCATGGAATGAAATGGAATGGAATCATCATCATCATCATCATCATCAACAAACAACATTTAAAGGTTTTTGTTTCGACAACTGTTAATAATACAAATAAAAATAGTAAAACATAGAGAACTAGAGCTGTCTGCTAAAATTATGAAATTAATTTTCAAAAATTTTAATTATGCAACACTGACTGCAACATGCAAATTGAATACAACATCAAAAGTTGCCACTAGTCTACAATTGTAACTATGTGTGGTGGTAGCTGGCATAGAGGATTAGAGTTTTCTATAGACAGAGAGAGGGAGACAGAGAGAGAGTGATTTAGGGGCAGACAGAGAGCATATAAGCTTAGCTACAAACTGTGCAATGCATAGATGATGGAAGGTTGAGACCAGAAATTGAACAGAACGAGAAAGAGAGATAGATGAATAGAGCAGAGCAGAGGAATTGAACTTAAGTATATCAAAATATCAAACGATATTTCAGCTGTTTAACGATCTGATCTTGATTTTAAAATAATATTCTTTTAATTTTTCAACTAAAAAAACTAAATTTTCTTTTAAAATATATTTTGTTTGATTTGTTATATTTCATATATCATAAATCTATTTTTAGATAAATCAAAATACTATATACATATTATTGAATATATTGAACAATGTCAAGAGTATACAAGCTGTCATCTGTTATTCGCTCGAAATTTTCAACTCTGTCTCTTACAGCATGTTTATGCATACAGTATTTTTTTTTTTGGTTTTGTTGTTGTTGCTATTTTAGTTTCAGTTTCTAGTCGAGCGTTGGCCACAGTGGCTGTCATTAAATTGTGCGCACGCATACTCTTATGCGTGCTTAAGATACACACATACAGACCCACTCGCACACACTTACTCACACACACATGTGCGTGCCGTGGGAATCATTGTGGACAGCGGGCTTTGGCTACCGCTGCTCAACTTTGATTAGAGTTAAGCCCTAAATTAGTTGCCTCTGTTGGACATTGGTTGGCGACCTTTTGGGGTCCCATAGTCAGCGTTTGTTTACCTTTTGCTTTGTGGGGCATAATAATCAAGTCATGAGGTTTGCAACGCACGCACACTTACACACTCACTCATATGCACATAAATCGTAAGTTCTTAATTAGCATGTCGAGATGTCTTGATTTGTGGGCTAGCACGAAGCAGTTTTTTTTATATATGTTAATAAGAAATATTTAGCAAGGCCATAAGAATTATACTTCTTAGTTATTTTTGGGCCATACAATATAATAATTTGCATTATATGGGGAGCTTAGCTGATACTAATTGCAGTCATAACCAGATATTAGACGTGATAATGAATCGAAATGAATGAAGCTGAAGAATTAGATGATAATAGATAATATTATTAACATTAATCAAATTGTACATGATATATGTATAAAAAAAATATATTAGGATTAAATATGAAACATAAAATATAAAATATAAAATATACAATATAAAATATAAATAATAATAGAAACAATGGCTTAGCTTAGCTCTGAGCTGCTAAATGATAATATTTAATGGATCTTACCTAATAATATATACATCGATAGGTATGGATAACAAAGCCTTTGAAGTGCATTTCAGATTCGTGAATTTCCTTTTCTGTTTGTCTGTTCCATGGTCCAAGCCAAAGTGGCCAAAGGGGCGTTATTAATGTGCCACATGCTCTTGAAACAATCCAAGTGTTAATCGTTCTGATTCAGCCAGCTGACAGGCGGACAAGCACGATAACAACAACAGTAACAGCCGCAACAGCAACAGCAACAGCAACAACAGCCAACAGTTGTTGGCTTAAAGGAAACGGGAAATGGCAATACGATAAGTTGGCTCTGGAACTTATTAGCGCAGAGTTTAATAGGCTCAATTAATGTCAACTGCGTTGCCTTAAGGCCAAGTGAAATTTTCGCTCTATTGTTGTTGGCATTTGTTTTTTTTTTTTTTTTGGGGATTTTTTCTACGCCAACAGCGAAACGAAAGTTTTCTTTTTGCTGTTTCAAACAACAACAAAAAATATATTAAATAAAACTTTTCGAATTGAACATTTGTCCAAATGCATAAAAATTAATTAACAAGTCTCAGCTGCGAGCAGATGATTAAGAGGAAGCAGAATTCTTTTTTTGAAAATTGAGCAAAGAAAATCAAACAGAAGCTGAAGCAAAGGCAGCAACACCAACAGCAGCAACAGCAGCAGCAGAATTTTTAATTGGCTTTTCAAGCAGATTCGTGTTGTTGTTGACGTTGGCGTCGTCTTTCGCACATTTAAGCCTAATTAACTTTCTACTTAACGCTCAGTTTTCATGTACTGAATGAATCTTAGCTGCTCAGCCTGTGCATTTGGCATTGTTTGTTTGCCGTTGTTATTGTTGCTGTTGCACTGCGTCAACTTCTAATTTCATTTGAAGTCAGCGCGTCCGCTTTGATGCCACGGCCAGGCGTTGTATGCTGCTATGAAAAGGTGAAAAGTAGGTGAATGTTAAGCGGCAGCCAACACTCAACATTGTTGTAAGAAAAAAAAAAAAAAGG